ATACATCACTCACAATCATACACCAGTGGAGGACACACACACTAGGAGCAAGGTGGGTTAAGTGTCTTGCCCAAGGACACAACAGACAGACTAGGGATAGGGGGGAAAAAACCGCCAACCGTCCAGTTACTGGATGACCACTCTACCTCCTAAGCAACTGCCGCCCCCAACCTTGCTCTGTGATCCCATAACATCCAAACTCTGAGCAGAGCCAGTCTTGCTGTAGGATACAGTGTGCATGCAATTCAAAATGCTGCACTTTCAGAGTAAAGTTTATGTAACATTTGTAGGTTTATGTACATACAACTATTAAACACTTAAACAGTATAAACAGTACACAGTAATTCATGTATTACTTAAAATTTTTTTTTAAATTTTACATGAAAAAGACACTAGTTCTTACTGAATCTTAAAAATACAAGGTAGAAATTATGAGTTACTCTAATATATTTTTCTGCACTAAACGTCACCTTTTTTTAGTGAAAAAATCTGATATGTCTTTAATGTCATTTTTCTGGACTTTTGTAGCCCAGTACTAGACATCAAAACGTGTTCTGTCTATGCAATGACTCATTGAACTAGCAGCATTCTATTCTCATCACGGCACTGTATATATAGCAAAGTTATGCTATGTCAGATATGTTGTCTTCGTTTCCTGCTTAAAGAAGTTGCATTTTTCCTCTTTCCTAAACATGGTAACTGATGGCGTCTGTGTAGTCACCATAGTTGTTTTCTTGCGCTTCATCCGGGTCCGGGTCGCGGGGGCAGCAGCTTCAGGAGGGAAGCCCAGACAGCCCTCACCCCAGCTACTTTCACCAGCTCCACCGGGGGGATTCCCAGGCGCTCCCAGGCCAGAGATATAATACCTCCATCTGGTCCTGGGCTGGCCACGAGGTCTCCCCCCAGTGCGACATGTCAGGAAGACCTCTAACAGGAGGCATCCAGAAAGCATCCTAACCAGATGCCCAAGCCACCTCAGCTGACTCCTCTCAACATGGAGGCGCAGCGGTTCAACTCTGAGCGCCTCCCGAGTGTCTGAGCTCCTTACCCTATCTCTAAGGCTGAGTCCAGCCAACCTGCGAAGGAAACCCATTTCGGTCACTTGTATCAGCGATCTTGTTCTTTCGGTCATTACCAGTTCATGGCCATAGGTGAGAGTCGGCACGTAGATCGACCAGTAAATTGAGGGTATCGTCTTATGGCTCAGCTCTTTCTTCACCACAACTGATCGGTTAAGCGTCCACATCACTGCTGACGCCGCTCCTGTCAATCTCCCATTCCATCCTACCCTCACTCCTGAACAAGATCCCAAGATACTTGAACTCCTCCACTTGAGGCAGGACCGCCCCTCTGACCTGGAGAAGGCAATCTACCTTTTTCTGACTGAGGACCATGGCCTCGGACTTGGAGGTGCTGATTCGCATCCCAGCCGCTTCACATTCGGTCGTTAACCGCCCCAGCAAGCTAAAAGCATGACGAAGCTAAAAGCACAACATCATCCGCAAAAAAGTGCGACGCAATCCTCTGCCTGCCGAACTGGACACCCTCCACCCCCAGGCTGCGCCTAGAAATTCTGTCCATAAAGGTTATGAACAGAACTGGTGACAAGGGGCAGCCCTGGGGCCTGTTCTACGAAGCAGGATTACTGCTTAGCGAGGTAACTTCAAGGATAAATTCAGGGTTTCCTGTTCTACGACGCGGGTTCACTTCTTAGCGAGGCGAGTCTCCATAGCAATATACGCTGAATGGCTAACCTGCTCCGGGGCAGGTTAAGTTCCAGATTGAACTCACAGAGTATAAAAACCCCGCCCACTGACCAATGAGCTCTCTCGAAAAACGGCTTGTCCGTTCTTGGAGGATCCCATAGACCTCGGTGCTCGCATTGTCCGAGGAGGAGCACTCCGGCGCGCGAGAGTTTACAGGGACTGCACGGACCCACTTATTTCTCCGGATGACCACCTTCATGAAAGGCTCATATGGCCTACATATAACACAAAACATATAAACACGATAGGAATGAACAAATGAGTGAATTCATCTTGGAAATGAATGGACATGGGCTGTGTGATCACGGACAACATCTCGGTACTATTTAGTAGCAGCGCACGCCCCTTATAATAACCCCCGTAAATACTGTTGTTCAGGACTGCTTACTTGTGCTTCCTACCTACTGTAACAACCGTTGTTCTAGCCCACATGCAACATTTTTGTTCTCATTCATGAAACGCTTAAATCGGGGACATTTTCGGGGACAGCTTTAGCCGGGGATAGATCATCCAATTCAGGCACTGTCACCTTAGTTAAAAGCGCATGTTGAACAGCGCTATTTCAGGGTGATAATGGCATCAAAGATGCATTTTCTGCCAGCATTCCCTCTGTGCTTTTGCAGCGGCGACGGTGTTGCTTTTGAGGTTTATGGTAGCTTTGAATTCTTCATACTTTCTCATGATCGTCTCCTGCTCCTTGTTTGTAAAGTATGCGGTCCTTCACTCTCCAGCTTGCTCTGAAGCTCCAGACTGATCCATGTTCGCGATTGGTCAGATGCGGCGGGCTCCGCCTTATATGTGTGCACACGCTCATAGCAAAGCTGGATCCACTTATGAGGTTGATAACCAGCGTCGTAAAACCGCTTAGCGAGACCGCTGGCTACCGCGCTAAGTTGAGCGAGGTAGCTCCAAGGCTACCTCGCTAATTTGAACTTGCTTCGTAGAACAGGCCCCTGGTAGAGTCCAACCCTCACTGGAAACGAGTCTGACTTATAGCCAGCTACACGGACCAAGCTCGTGCTCCTTTGGTAAAGGGATTGGATGGCCCTTAATAAGGAACCCTCCACCCTGTTCTCCCGGAGCACCCCCCAAAGGGTTCCCCTAGGGACCCGGTCGTAGGCCTTCTCCAAGTCCACAAAACACAAGTGTCTTGGTATTTTACAGAAGGTTCTTAAAAATCTCATTCATTATAATTTTAATTTTGTGTACCAATGTGTTTTTTTTAAATCTTTTTCACCAAGTCATTATTAGTTTTTATTGTTGATTATCCAAATTATGCAATTATAATTGGCACTTTTATATGCAAACAAAGGCTAAGCAGTCAAAATGAATGCTTTGGTCATTCTAGTAGTTGCAGAATTTTGTTAGACCAAGTGTTAATGCAAAAGGAGCTTGAGTAACTACTGGATTCATACATTTATATACACTGAACAAAAATATAAATGCAACACTTTTTGTTGTTTCATGAGCTAAACTCAAATATCTAAGACTTTTTCTATGTACACAAAGGATTTCTCTCAAATATTGCTGACAAATTTGTCCTAAATCTAGTGAATTTTTCTTCTTTGCCGAGATAATCCATCCACTTCACAGGTGTGGTTTTATCAAGATGCTGATTAGACAGAATGACTATTGCACGTTTGCCTTAACATTTTGGATCAGTGGGAGGAGTTCAGGCTGCATTTCTCAGGCCCTCCTCACACGAGGACAGCCCCATATTGTCTTGGCGTCGGCACCAAAACATGTATCGCTGTTCACACATTGTATTGTACATAGGCTTAGTGCATTTACATGACAACGCAAAATCCATGCAAAATCCTGTAGTACATACGCCCGGCCTAACGGTGACACTGTGAAATTGCCACAAAGCACCAAAAACAGAGAGTGCGCATGCGCATACGTTCATACATGCTGTGTGTGACAACGTGGGTTGGGGGGGCGGGGAGGAGGAGGGGTGCTATGAGGTCACCATCTTTTCTGGACTTATCTATTTACACCAACTACGGCATGAAGACGAATACCCAGATATCCACCTGCAAACCCGTTTTCAAAAAAGATTCATGGCCAAATACACGGAGTCATGGACAAATACACAGAATCATGGACAAATACACGTCTCTATGTGTCAATATCACCGGATCGATGGTTTATTTTACCGGTGTCTTACAAATTCGTACTCGTGTAAAGACCACCGCAGTCACTAAGCCCATTGAAGACATGGCTGAGGTTCTATACTCAATGTACTGTGATCCTCAAAATATCCTGTATTTGACCTTTTGAAGTTAGCGCTAGGTGAGGTGAGCCATCAAGGTTTTAGAGGGAGAGCAGGTAGATCTTCAGCTACTTAACATCCTGGTTAGCCTGATCAAGTCAATAGATGGCTACATCAGTTTAGGGCTGAACAATTTTAGGAAACTACTGTTACCAAACTTGAGCTTGTAGACCCTCGAACCGTAGTAGGTGGACCACTCTTGGACAGCTCTCGGTTTAACTCGTTGAGGTAACATAAACAGATGATCGGGACCACGTTGGAAGAACTGTACTTTTATTTCTAGCACTCCTCGCAGAAGGAAAAACATAAAACATCACACTCGTGGCTGCGGTGTCCGTCTCTCTCACACAAAACTCCCTGCATCGCCTTCCCCGCGAACACCAAGAACACCGTTACCCACAATGCCCCGCTGATATATCCCCGTGAACTCTAACCTCTCCCACATAATAAAGTCACAGTCACAGGCTGAGCCTGTAACACTACCCCCACTCTGGATGATGATTAAAACCTTAACATCACTCCAGCAACTTATAAAACACACTAAACATTTTTTTTTTTTTTTTTTTATAAACATTTCCCATAAGTGTCCATTTTCCTTTTGAATGTCCATTCTCCCCAGTCCCGAAGGAACCCTCTTTTCATAGTGCGCTCACTATTTCTCGGTTAGCAAAGATAAACAACAGTGTTTCAAGGCCCCGAAAAGTTCGTGAATATATGACTTCTGCTCAGTAACAAACCCTGTGGGAGGCAGTTAGGCAACAATTTCAGCAAAAGTTAAGTGCATATAGAAAAATAATAACAAACCCGCAGCCACAATGCATAAAATTACAAATAACATTCAAGAGGTCAGTGCGTTTACCTGTAAACTCAAACACTAGTGCAACTGGCACAAATCGGAACCATAAAATGTATATGTAACACTCTTTTAACTCAACTGTAAACCGTGTCAGGTGAAATATCTCTCAGTCTTTAGAGAATAACCAGTCACCAAACCTCTCTGGTGCTCTGCACGCTCTCTGGGGTCTCCGTGGCCGTGCAGAGAGTGGAGGATGACTCCTGCTGTCGACCTCAACTAACTGTGGCGTACTGATGTTATCCGGGGACTGGCTGCTGCTTAGTGGAGTTGGCGATGATGAGCAGGGGTCCGGTGAAGCTCCAACAGCTGCGCCCTGTGTCTCCGATGGGGCGTCCCACAGGCTGAGGGGACCGATGTCCGGCTCGGCGGCGTCTTCATCAGCCGGGGGTGGCGACACCTCCACTGGTGACCATTCATCAGCGCTCTGGAAGACCCAAGTGTTGTCCAGTTCTGTCCGGGAGTAGTAAGGTTTAAGCTTATCATGATGGACGACCTTGACCTTTGACCTCTGCGATTTCTGGATCCGATAGACCAAGTCATCCAGCAGGCCAACAATGAAGTAGGGACCCCCGTATGAAGGCAGAAATTTCTTCACCTTGTTCTTCACTGCCTTTGTGCCTTTGATCAGATGCCACACTGCGTCCCCAACCTTGTACTGTAGTTGGCAAATATTTTTGTCATACTGTCTCTTAGCACGTTCTGCAGATCGCCCAAGCGTCTCTCGTGCAAGCTGGTGGCAGAGCTGCAAGCGTTCCCGAAGCTGCATGACATACTCTGGGAGGGAAACGACGCTGCTGCTGTCTGGGGGCGAGCCCACAACCAGATCAATAGGCTCGGTGATCTCTCGTCCGAAGAGCATCATATTGGGGGACAGTCCAGTGGAGCTGTGCTTAGTGGCCCGATAAGCCATGAGGGCATAGGGAATCATCAGATCCCAGTCCCAGTGGCACCTATCAGCTGTAGTGGCCAAGATCTTCTGTAGAGTCGCATTAAAGCGCTCCACTTGGCCATCCGATTGGGGCCGGAAAGGGGCGGTGTGTGTCTTTTCAATCTGCAACAGACCGCACATCTCCTGAAACACAGCCGACTCGAAGTTAGTGCCCTGGTCACTATGCAGCGAATGTGGGGCCCCATACCTACACACCCACTCAGATACAATCTTGTCTGCCACTGTGATTGCTTCTTGATTGGGAACTGGGTACGCTTCCACCCACTTACTGAAATAGTCACTCACTACCAGTATGTAGCGATTTTGTCTTTCTGTCTCGTTTAGTGGGCCCATCAAGTCGACAGCAATCCTTTCCATAGGGGCACCCACTTTAACTGAACCCATAGCTGCTTGGGGGGTTTTCTTCGGGCGAGCTTTAGCAGCACATTTGGTGCAGGTGCGGCACCACAACGTGACGTCGTCCTTCATGTTATACCAGTAATACCTTGTCTGGAGGCGCGCAAGGGTCCTCTCCACCCCAAAATGACCGCCAACAGGACCATCATGCATCTGCTCCATCACAGCGGTGCGATAACCCTGGGGCAGCAGGATCTGGGGATAAAACATCTTTCCATCACTGCCATAGAACTTTCTCATTAGAGTTCCATCTTTCTGGTAAAGCCTTTTCCACTGTGCCCAATAAGCTTTGGTGGCAGGGCTACAGTGTGCTATGTCGATCCAAACGGGTCGCCCAACCTCTTCCTCAAACCACCCCCACACAGGTGCCAGGTCTGGATCAGCCATTTGTGCAGCTCTCATTTGCTCATGGGTCCACCCACTGAACAGATTGGACTGTGGAGATTCACTCACCCTGTTGATACTGGGATGAGATGAGGTGTGGTTGTGGTCGTCACTTTTATGGGTGTCAACTACCCCCACTAGAGGTTGCTCTGGGGGTATTGTGATGAGGGCCTCTGCAGCTGGGGTGTCTGTTAGGCTGCACTGCACTCCTTTGTCATGACACCGTTCACTGCTGGGGCTGGGCTGTGTCACCGTGCAGGGGCATGAAGCTCTACATGGCCTCCTGGACAGTGCATCGGCATTCTGGTGGTGTCTTCCAGGGCGGTGTACCACCTGGAAGTCATACTCTGCCAGTTTCTCCAACCAACGAGCCAGCTGCCCTTCCGGCTCCCTTAACCTGGTCAGCCAGCGTAGGCTGCTGTGGTCAGTTCGTACAGTGAATGGTCGTCCTAGTAAGTACTGTCTGAAATGGGAGGTGAACTCTACTACTGCCAGGAGCTCACGTCTGGTAGTGCAGTAGTTTTGTTCTGTGGACGACAGCCTTCTGCTGCCATACGCCAGAACTCTCTCCTCTCCCCCTTGCAACTGGGAAAGAACAGCCCCTATTCCCCAGTCGCTTGCATCAGTATCTAGGAAGAACTCACCACTGTCGAGGGGGTAGCCAAGAACAGGCGCTGATGTAAGTCCTCTTTTTAGTTCCTCGAACGCACCCTGACACTCGGCTGTCCAGTGAAAGCGTGCATACTTCTTTGTGAGTTCGTGCAGTGGCTTTGCTATGGTGGCGAAACCTTCCACGAAGCGCCGGTAGTACGATGCCAAACCGATGAATTGGCGTACCTCTGTCATGTTCTGGGGTATGGGCCACTCTGCCACTTTCCTCATCTTCTCTGGGTCGGTGGCAATTCCTCTGGCGGAGACGATGTGTCCGAGGTAAGTAACCTGTTCTCGAAACAGACAACACTTTGATGGTTTCAGTTTTAATTTGGCTTCACGGAGCCTGCCGAACACCTGGTGGAGCCGCTCTATCATCTGAGTGATGTCCTTCCCCAGGACGATGATGTCGTCCAGGTAGACGAGACATGTTTCCCATTGTAGCCCCACCAGGACTCTGTCCATGAGCCGCTGGAATGTGGCCGGCGCATTACAGAGTCCAAACGGCATCACATTCCACTCAAAGAGCCCCTTGCGGGTACAGAAGGCAGCGGCTTTCCGGGCCCTGGGAGTCATCTCCACCTGCCAGTACCCTGATGTCAAGTCCAGCGTAGTGAAATACCTGGCAGTGGATAAGGTGTCCAAAGTGTCCTGTATGCGTGGCAGGGGGTATGCATCTTTGATGGTTCGCTCATTTAAGGATCTGTAATCCACACACAGGCGTGGGCTCAGGTCTTTTTTTCGCACCATGACAATTGGTGCTGCCCAGCTGCTGTTGCTGGACTGTGCGACGCCCGCCTCTAGGCTCTGTTGCATCTGCTGGTCTGCTGCAACCTGCTTATCTCGGGCCATTCTGCGGGGTTGCTGCTTAATTGGAGGCCCTGGTGTGGTCAGGATGTCATGCTTGACGAGGCTGGTGCGGCCTAGGTCGGCGGGCCCAGTGGAGAAGACGTCGCTGTAAGATGTTAGCAGTTCAGCCAGTCTCCAGCGGTCCTCTTCCGGCAGGTTCGCACAGCTCTCAGCATATAGTGTCTGTAGGTGGTTGGGGACGCGATCAGGGGCTGCTGTGACTTTGGAGGGGCAAGGCCCTGTCTCCTCTACTACGTTGGCGGGCTGGAGGACACCCGCAACAGTCCCTCTTTTTAATGTGATGGGCGTGGCGCCGGGGTTGAAAACTCTGATGGGGATACTAGCTGCCCGCCGTGCCTGCACAACCGCACGGGCTACAAGCACATGGTGTCTTTTAACAATGCTCTTAGCAGGGCTTAGCATGAGCTCACCAGCAGCAGTGGGGTGGAGGTGTGTGGTGCCAGGCACAATGTACTCACGCCCTGGCTCCAGTACGGTCCTGCGTGCCACTTTGACGAGGTGCACCTCAGGTCCTGAACTGGTGACAACACGGGGTATATCCTTTCCGAAGAGGGTGACTTTCCCGCGGCCATAATCCAGGCAGGCCTTTGCCTGTAACAGGAAAGGATGCCCCAGGATAACATCAGTGTTCTCAGCTGTGTCGGCCACGATGAAGATCACATTAGTCACATGGTTTCCGATGAGGACTGGAGTAGTAATTTCTCCCAGGACCACCAGGCTTCCCGGCCCAACGCCCTGCAGGACCTCTGCGGTTGATGGTTGGATAGGGGGTCTGGCCTCCGCAGGTAAGTTGTTGTAACGATGGAGAGAAAACACATTCCTTCGTGCCCCAGAGTCGAGCAAGGCACAGATTTTTAGTCCATAAATTGTGACCTGCACACACATTTCTTCCTCCTCTTGGCCTCTAGGACTCACAGTGACAGTGTTTGGGGCAGATGCTGGGGCCTGTACAGGAGCTGGTGTGACATTAGCTGCCGTCCGCTTGGGTTGGCGAGGGGAGGGGCAATTTTTCTGAAAATGTCCAATGCCAGAACAGTTGTGACAAACAATCTCTCTAAAATCTAATTTTTTAGGGCTGTCAGTTTTGTGGGGCCGTCCCTGCCGGAGAAATTTTGGTTGGTCAGTGCGCCCTATGGCCACTCTCTCTGGCTCCCCTGAGCGGGGCCCATTATCATCTTCACGTACTGTAGCTGCTCTTGTTTTCCGTTCATTAGCATTAGCAGCACCTGACCGCATTAGCTGTGCAACTGTCTGCGCAGCTCTTCTGGTGGCCTCATACCTGCGAGCTATGTTGTAGGCCCCTGCCAGGGTGCACGGCTTTTCCTCCAGGAGTTTCTGCACCAGCTCAGCGTCGGCCAGGGCGTTGGTAAATATCTCCACACCAATTGCATCCTGTTCCAACTCTCCACGGCCAGCATATGCAATTGAAACTTTTTCATAAATGTCATCTCGGAGTGCATGCAGGCTTTCACCAGGTTTTCTGGTTCTTTGTCTCAGTTCTATGCCAACGGCGGCAGCATACTCCGGGCAAGGTCCATAGGCAGCCTCGATCTCTTCCACAATGCGCTGATAACTCCACTGAGCCGACCGTGGGTTTTTATGGACGATTGCCCCAGCTGCCCCAGTCAGGCTGAACTTCAGCTGCACGGCCATAGTCTTTTCGGTCCAGTGATTGGCTTTTGCACAACTCTCAAACTGATATATAAAGTCTTTCCATGCACCAGTCCCATCAAACTGGCCTGGCTGTAGCGTGGGGATTCTCTCTCTTTGTCCATCATCATCACTGATGTCTATGGGGCCACCATGGCATGCAGAACGTGGTGGGAGAGGGGGAGGATCAGTTCTTGAAAAACTGTGGTCATAGGTCTGGCCCTGCACTGCATAGCTTGGTGTTACGTGTGGAGGCACATGTGAGGCGATTTGGGGCACAGTCTGTGTTTGAAAAGGTGCTTGGGCGTGGAAAACAGGAGTACTAGTAGCGAAATAGTCTCTGTTCGTCTTTGAGAAGGGATTAATATATTGATCAGTGATGTGGGTAAATTCTGTGGGGCGTAACTGGGTAGCAGCGGTATGGTTTACACCTGCGGGCGCTGCAGACTCACCGTGGTCTCCTCCCTGCTGCACCGCTGCTTTGGTGAAAGGATTTGTAGATCCCGATGGCGGTGGAGTGGGCGGCCACGCTGTGTCCAGTCGCGGTAGAAACGTGGGGTCCGCTGCTCCGTTAGCGGCCTGTGATAGCTTCATGCTGGCTAGGAAGGGATTATTTGGGCTCCAGCCGTAGTCGACGCACCCGCCATCCACCACGTTAGCCCCGAAAGTCACTGTCGTGTCCGTCACAAACGGATTCTTGCTGTTTCGTGTGTGAATTACCCCCGCCGCTCTGTCTTGGCTAGCGGTGTAGTTATCCGAGCGCGCCGCCATTTCTTATAGCGCTGTGTGGCTACTGTCACTGCTGAGCGCCGTCTCTTTCTCTGTAGTTCCTTCTTTTTCTGCTTGCTAGATAGAACAGTGTCTCTTACTTCCAAACGAGCCCCCAGTGTTACCAAAACTTGAGCTTGTAGACCCTCGAACCGTAGTAGGTGGACCACTCTTGGACAGCTCTCGGTTTAACTCGTTGAGGTAACATAAACAGATGATCGGGACCACGTTGGAAGAACTGTACTTTTATTTCTAGCACTCCTCGCAGAAGGAAAAACATAAAACATCACACTCGTGGCTGCGGTGTCCGTCTCTCTCACACAAAACTCCCTGCATCGCCTTCCCCGCGAACACCAAGAACACCGTTACCCACAATGCCCCGCTGATATATCCCCGTGAACTCTAACCTCTCCCACATAATAAAGTCACAGTCACAGGCTGAGCCTGTAACACTACTCAATTGCGATTTTGTGATTTCAATTCGATTACAATTTTTTTCAAATCCATCTGCGGTGCAACATTCACAATGTGTACAGTAACATTTACAAATCAATACAAAAAAAGCTATTACTGGAATGCAAGAATGAAAATAAAAGGTAAGAATTGTGGATGGAAAGTCAGTCTTCACATTTAAAGGTCCCATGGCATGCCAATTTCACACAACTTAAAATAGTCCCCTGGTGTGCTAAAAGCATGTCTGTGACGTCCTTTGGTCAAAATTCGATTTGGATCAATTATTTTAGTGCTCTTTTTATCAGCTAAAAACAGCTCTGCTCAAAATCCTCCGTTTTGGGCCATGTCTCTTTAATGAAATGAGCTACACCTAAACCATGTCCACTTTACACACATCTCTCTGAAAGGGGCTGTGGCTGTGCTCCAATAGCCACGTGCTAATGTTTACACTGGCTCGGTCATGGTTGTAAGAAGATCGCTTGTACAACCCTTCCAGTTGTCCAGACTACAACCCGCTTGTAGTCTAACCCATGGTGTCAAAGTCTCGGTAGCAAAATGTACAAACAAACCACCACAAAAGTAGTCCCAAATCCAAAAAAACTCTCGAATTAAGTACATTAATGCCACCCTAACAAAAACAGAACATTAAAAGAGGAAATGAAGAAATTTTACAACAAAATGTGTGAACACCCACAATGCATTGCAGCTACCCAAAGCACTGTTGGAGCGTGTCTACAATGCATCCCATCTGCTCATTAGCTTCTTAAAGTGGAGAAGATATAAACAAGTATTGGATCATTGCAACATGTCAAATGGAGCAGGAAACTTTTGTTCTTTTTTTATGTGTCCCAAAAATGCACATATAGGGCTCTATTTTCGTGCGCGCCGGTGAGGCGGCGGCGGGCGGCGAGCCCCGCGCAGTTGTATTTTCGTCTGGCGGAGCCCGGCGTAAGGCCAGTTTGGTATTTTCGTGGACTGAGCCGCACGGAAGCGAGCCGAGATCCTCCAAGCTGGGCGTGGTGGCGTGGCAGGGGGAGGTGTCGACAGAATCAGCAGGCGCAGTGACATTTTCGTGCTCGCCACCGGCGTGTAAAGTGCGCTGAAAGCTCGCCGATTCAAACCTGGTCAGCTTCCAGCACATGGCGGAGCGCAGCTGGTCTAGTAGTATTTTGGTAGACCGGCGGCGTATCAACAGTACGTCACTGATGCCTCACCGGCAGGTTTCCCCAGTGTCAGACACATTTCAGTGCAATAAATAATCATCAACAACTATTAATCTGAGTCAGCACATATATTTAGATCTATATCGATATATTCTGATCTATATGTGATCTGATGAGGGCGTTTGGACACACAACCTGACCGAATCAACACAGCTGAAACCGCATCAAATTAAATTAAATATCTAGTAAATAAACACACATGATGAAGTTAACAAGATATGTAATGTGTCTCCCTCCTTTTCTTTCTTCCTCTTATTTCTCGCACAGGTCGACCTGGACACGTCTCTGTGTCCTCTGTCCGTCTTGCTGCTGCTGCGGCTGAACAGATGATTTGTTTCAGTGCTCAGATGCGTTATCTACTTTAAGCCGACATACGGATATTATAATATTCAGTTTTGTGAGCCAAATTTATTTTATATGCCAACATCTATGAAAGAAAGAGCCAGGCCATGGAGCGCGATGCGTCATTTACGCACAGATGGTTCCGATTTTAATGCCATTTTTGGAGTTTATGTTGTGATCTGTCTCAACCCACCTTTGTCACGTGAGGTTTGAATACATGCAACTTTATGTGAGTGTCTTCATTTGTGGAAAAGGGTGTTTGTCTTACCAGTGGGTCCAACATTACGCACACCAAATCCATCTGTGCTCATATAAGAGCGTGTCGAGGACACTTGTTGAGGAGCTGCCCTCTGTCGCCATCTTGTGGCATTACTGTCTTCAGACATCTCTTGATCTCTTTGACTACTTCATGAAAATAGTAATACGCCTCGCCTGTGGTGGATTTAAAGGCAAGGAGAGGAGCTTGTGATTGGTGAAAACAGGTCTTGGCTGTGTTAAACACACTCCACGCCCTCTCTCCTCCCCATCTACGACTTATGGTGCTGGGAGGAGCTGAGTTAGGGAGGGGGGATACTTACGCCGGGCTGCGCGGCTCACCGAAATACCAAAATGTGCTTGGGAACGCCTTGTCAGTGCGGTGGATCTGACTGACGCTGCGCTTGCGGCACGTCTCCGGCGAGGCACGAAAATAGAGCCCATAGAGATTTACTTGGGTACATAAACTCTACAGTAAGCTGTCAAGGTAGAGAGCATTATATTTTCGGGACAGCAAATATTCTGAATCAGAGGGCTTTTTCAGCTTATCTGAATAGTCTGAATGAAATCATTAAAGGCACGCTTTTGAATCCACCCAACGGTAAGGAAAACTTATATTATTTCACCTTGTTACTTTCAACCACGCTTCTGTCAGGGGTGTATTCAACGGCAGTAGTGCATTCTACAACATAACACCGGACCAAGAACAGTCGGAGACTGAGAATGACAAAACGCCTCGGCTGTATCCTCCTTCAAAAAAGGTTTCGTCAGCAGTATGGACGTTTTACGGCGTCACAAAAGAGATGGAGCAGGTAAACCTGACACCAATCTGCAGGTTATGCAGTAAGGAAGTTGCAGCGCCGTTGTCTAACACTTCAAACCTACGTGCCCACCTCCGTGAACACCATCCAGCATCGATCGCCCAAATCAAGGTAAAAACAACATGACTGCAACAGGTTTGATCTACTCTACTGCTTATTAATGACAACATTAGTGACATTTCTGCTAACTTTAGCTCCAAAAAGCTAGCCCCAACGTTGCCTTAGCTGCCTCTTGCTCATATTGTTTGTGCGTGTCATGCTGCGCACAGAGAAGTGATTTCACAGTTTTTCGCCATTTTTTATTAACATTAAAAGCAATGCGCTAATATTGTCATAACATCGTGAATCGTGATATTTTGGGCCACCAATACCGTGATATCAAATTTTTCACATTGGCACATGCCTAATTGCAGCGGATTATGTTCTAAATGTGCTCATGTGGCACTATAGGCCTTGTTATAGAGAAGTGGGCTTTGATGTTGTAAAATCTTTAAATAAATGTTGAACAAGTAATTTTGTATTGAATTTTTCTAACTTTTACATAACATTACTGTTTGTAAGATTAAAAAGATATGTTTTGCTTCAATAATCTATGGCACCATTTGCCCGGCACCGGGGAAAGTTGTGCCACGAGACCACTTATTTTTCTAAAGCTATATTTCTCAGTTTATTTCAGATCAAAATTGATTGTTCCCAGGGATGCACCACATCCTAAACTATATGTACATATTTTAGTTGGAGGTTTTACTGTCATGTCTGCCGTGTCTCTTTTCTTGGGGATTAAATGACCTAACTCCGCTTTTAGTTGCACTTTTTTTTTTTCCCAATATTTTTTTTTATTTTATCTTTTAAACATGAATAAACAACAACAACGAAAAACTTCCCCAACCCTGGCAGAAAGACAGAAAAAGAAAAATATACAAAACATATAGATGACAATACAATTGTAAAATTGTAAGCAGACCTCAGCAGTGTATAGCCACAGCACAGACAATAAAACTAATGAATAAGTAAAACAAACAAAATAAATAAATAAAAAAATATAATAAATATCAATTATAATAAAAAACAAAATTGCATTTTTATCATGCAGGGCAGTGATTCTCCAAGAAAACCATATATGGACCCCATAAATGTGCAAATTTCTTGTCCTTCTTTGAAGCAATATATGTAAGTCATTCCAAGGCAAGATTGGCAGTTAGTTCTTTTATCCACAGTCCAACAGAGGGTGGGTCCACGCTTTTCCACAAAAGTGCAATTATTCGTCTCTCTTGTGAAAGTCCAAAGTCAATGAGCAGTGACCGCTGCAGGGTTACAGAAAAATCCTCCGGGTATATGCCCAGTGCACAAAGTTTTGCACAAAAAGGGATTGCTGTCCCCACTACAAGTGTTATACACTCAACCACAGATTTCCAGAATCTTTGTATTTTTTCACACTCCCAAAAATAGTGAATTAAAGTACCTTTTTCCACCCTGCATTTCACACAACAATCTGGGATATTGGGGAACATCTGGCTCAGCCTACTGTAATAATCTATATTTTGTATTAATAGATTGGGTCTGGGCTTTTTAGTTGCACTTTTAAAAACATGTTCACATTTCAAAACATGGAGGGCAGGTTAATACTGCTTGGTTACTGTGACCTGCCCATCAGAGTCGATTCTAGAGTGTGCTGGGGCCCCAAGCAGAGATTCTCTAGGGGAAATTATCTGAAACCAACAAAAGAGGTCAGACACAAAAACTTTTTAAAAACAGTTATCTTTATTATTACACAACTTGAAAATTTAGCCACAGCTCTGGTATGTTTTTACCACAACAGCCAGCACTTCAGCTTTGTTCTAAGATTTGATGTCTAAGACTTGTTTCAGTTTGTTATATGCTCCAAAGTTGATAGTCTTTAAGAATAAGA